AATTTCCCTTAGGTCAAAATGGAGAGTTTTTCTGATATCACCACTGCAGATACACTTAACTCTGCAAAAGTCTACATTTATCTGCAGGATTACTTTGCTTACTTCCATGATAGTTGAAAACAATCTCTTCACTCTCAGCTAAACTTCAAATTGAGAGGCACATCTAGCTGCCAAGCACTATGAATTCATGCAAAGTTGCACATGTGTTTTCAGGAATTCCTGGATATGCTTTATTGAACTAGATCAATACTTTGGCTCAAGTCACCCCTGCTCATGGAGACACTGACAAGAGGGGGCCAGAGGAGAATGAAAACTTCACAAGCTTGCTATAATTTCTTGTACAGAATCCCCTCAAAAGGGAGGGAATTGGGAAAGTGATGCATAGTGGGGAGGAGATATGGTCTCCCAACCCTGTAAATCTCCGGGTCCTTGGAAGGGCACCCCCACCGTTGCTGAGGCAGACGCAATCTGCATGGATGGTGATTACGGCTACATTTATGTCACGGAGGTCATGGAAGTCACGGAATCAATCCATGACTTCCAGAGACCTCTGTGACATTCTCTGCTTCAGCCCGAGGGGCTGCAGGACTCTGGAGCTGACAGCCAGTGGGGCCCTGGCAGGGTTCCAGCAACAGGCCTCAGGCGACTGCAGCAACAAGAAACAGGGAGCCCCCTGCAAAGTTACAGGACAGGTGACAGACTCCTGAGGGGGCCCTCCTCGGGGTTAGCGCAACAGGCAACAGCCTCGCGCGGGGGGAGGAGGACCCCTTGGGCGAGCGGCTGGGGTCTCCCATTTTCTCTTTGGGAAATATGGTTACCCTGCAGCTCCTAGCCGCTGTGGGCAGAGGAGGAACCGCACAGCTCCCAACCACCACGGTGGTGGGGGAAAACATGGAGCCGCAACAGCAAAAGTCACAGACAGGTTACGGCTTCCATGAATTTTTGTTTATTGCCCCGTGACCTGTCCATGACTTTTACTTAAAAATAACGATGACAAAATCTTAGCCTTAATGGTGATAACTGGGCTGATGCTGGTCCCACCCATTGGCAGCATGGCTCTTTTAGGTCACTGGCTGGGTCACCTATGGCAGCTCAGCAACAGTTGTAGAAGGTATCTGGTGGGAGTTAACAGTGAAAACTGACTATAACAATGGCATTCTAGGGTTTCACCTCTATTGTCTTTCGGTGACTCCCAGATCAAGTTTTCTCAGCTCGCCATTCAGATTGCAGCTGGAATTTGCAGGACAGACAGGTAGAAAAACCACATAATTTTACTTGTAAAGTGAGAACACTCAGTATGAAGTTATTAGAAGGGGAAGGGTGGACCCCACAATGCCATTTTTACGGTCAGTGCTCAGAGCAAAGCAGCGCTTTAAAACATGCATCAGGTTTGGGCTAAATTGGTAATGGGTAAAATGGGAAGGCCAAAAAGGTCAAAATTATCAAACTTGGTCCCTGATCCTGGAATCTGATCCATACAGGTGGACCTCTGTGCCCATGGAACTGTGTGCAGATCAGATTGCAGGGCAGGGCTCTCAGTGCTGAGTTAGCCACCTAAATCCATATTTTGGCATCAAAGTAAAGGGCCTGATTTTCAAAGGTGCTGAGCACTGGTTTTAATAGGAGCTGTGAGTGTTCAACACCTCTGAAAATCGGAGGTGCCAAACTATGGAGTTTGAAAATGTTGGCCTTACAGTCTTTGATCTCTAGCAAGAACTCCTATTGACATTAATGGAGTTGTGCAGGCAGACAAAGGCAGTACATATCCGTTAGTGATGAAGAATGATCTTGCAAGATGCAGCTCACATCAGGACTGGTGCCAGAATTAAAAAACTTTAGTTGTTACTGGAACAAATAGAAAAAAAGAACTCTCTCTAGTTAAAGTGTCTGAACATGCATGTTTATTGAATGGCACCTGCTCCCCCTGCTGGCCAGCTGAAAAACTATATTTTACAAAATCAGAATGTTTATAAACTTGCAGAAAAGTAATGATAGGGCAAATGTACTCCAGGAAACCAGCTTTCTCCTTTTGGGCCCTGAACAGCTACAGTAAAAGCAATTATATAAGTATTCACTAAACACCTTATGTTACCAATGATTGAGAGGAAGCAAAGGAGAGAAGGCAGGAAAAACGTTAGTTTTAATCCAAGCCAACGGGACTTGTGACAGGATAATCAGCCCTTAAGGGTTGTAGGGTCTAGCCCATCGCATCGCATGGCCCTGTAAGGGTTTTGTTAGGCCTAATAGATATAGCTATATAAGGGCCTACCGGGGATATGGATCGACAGGAAGTGGTCCTGGGAATGAATGTTGCACAGGAGGCAAAGCTGTCACTGTATCTTTAAGGGCCTGGGGCAAGGAGCCTGGCAGGGAGACTGGGGAAAGGCTCCCCTCTCTCCAGCCAACTGGAGAGAACTGGGAGAAGGGGACCACCATAAAGGCTGCCTCCTCCCTTGTACCAGGTCAGACACCAGGAGACATCAGTAGGGAAAGGCTGGCCTGCTGAGCACCCTGAAGCCTCAGGGCTCATGAAGGAAAAGGGGCAGCTGAGGGAGAAGCTGGCAAAGGCCCTACAGTTGCTTAACCCACAGCTCAGCTCCAGAGAGGTGAGTGAGCTCAGGGTTCCTGCTTAAAAAGGACCAGATAATCTGAGTGGCAGAACCCAGCTCCAGAGTGCAGGGGAGAACACTGTTTAAGGACTGAGGGACTAACTAATACAGTTCAGCTCCAGAGAGGAGATCTGAGGACTCCTGCGTAAAGAGGGACTGAAAAGGAGTAGCCCAGGGAAAGAACTGGGAAGGGATCCAGGAACAGAGACTGTTCACAGGCACAGGAAAGAAGCATCTCCTGCAGGAAAGAGCCAGAGAGTGCTAGTGGGACTGAGCCTGAGATGATGAATGTGACCTCTGTGCTATCACAGGATTACGTGTGGCATTAAATGCTATATAAGGATACCAGAATCTGTTCCATAACTGATAAAAGTATTGGAAAAATTCAAATGTCCTAACATAACTTAGTCTAATTAAGACTAAGCAGGATTGTGAGGCACTCACAAGAACCTTACAAAGTCAGGCAATTAAGCTTGTTAGGGAAGAGATCTTCTGTTTGTACAGTGCCTACGCAATGGGTCCTGGTCCATGACTGAGGCTCCTAAGTGCTACAAAATAATAGTAGGGCCACACAATGGAAGGTGGATTTCATTATAGAACAGGAAAGGCAATGAACACCGAAGAGTGAATAAAATCTTAAACTGTATTGAGAGAGCAATACAGAAAATGAGTCATGTAAATTGACAGTATACCTTCCCCTAGAATTGTGTGTTCAATTTTGGTCACTTCTCAACAAGCTCATAGCAGAAATAAGAGAGAGCTCTTCGCCTGCTCCCCCACAAAGGAGTAAAAATTATAAGAGGGATTAGGCAATGTGGAATCTTCTATACAAGAAGAGGTTTAAAAGCTTTAGGCTGCTTAGAGCGCAATTCTACCACTTACTCATGTTGAGTAGACCCATCTCTGTGAGTAATTTCACTGACTTCAGTGGTACTATTTATGGAGTAAGGTCACAGAATCTGGCCCTTGAATTTTCCTTTAGTACATCTATTAGTCCACACTGGAAAGCCTCTTGCATCTTAGGTGCTCAGACACCACAGTGATGACCACTATATAAACAAATACTGAGGTCCTTCAGACTATTCTTCCCTTTCCTCACTTAGAATAACAGGTGCAGTTCTCCATTTTTACTTTAGAGACAGATATTTGTGTAGATATTTCCCAGTAATCTGTGGTTTTCAATCTAGCCGGTTACAGGGGCTTGCTCAAATATGGACATGCAGAGGAGTAAGATGCCTGACTGTGGTCACCTACATTTTAGCTCCACATGTGGTAGGAGCAGCAGGTCTCAGACAACCTTTACTCCACTGAAAACAAGCTGGTAGGGAGAGGGTGGAGAGGAGCAGGGAGTGAATGGAGTGTTGACTTTGTCCCTCTGTTGGTGTGTGTGGTGTAGTCAAAGGACTGGCATAAATTACTGCCCCGAGGAAACATGGGGTTGAGCAGGGATGAAACTGAGGGCTTGTCTACACTACCATGCAGGGTCGATCTAAGATATGCAACTTCAGCTACGTGAATAGCGTAGCTGAAGTTGACGTACTTAGATCTACTTACTGCGGTGTCTTCACTGAGGTAAGTCGACAGCTGACGCTCTCCCGTCGACTCTGCTTGTGCTCCTTGGTCTGGTGGAATACTGGAGTCGAGGGGAGAGTGCTCAATGGTCGATTTATCGCGGCTCTATATTAGACGCAATAAATCGACCCTGCTGGATCGATTGCTGCCCACTGAGCGGGCGGGTAGTGTAGACAAGCCCTGAGAGATGCATGCAGTTCCTTCCCTGGCCTCATAGGCCAGCACTGTATTTAGAACATTGAACTCTAGCCCTAAATGTTGACATTCTAACAGCATACGTTCTGGAAATGTTGATGAAATGCTGCCAGGCTTCAAATAAATATTACCCTGATCTGAGTACATTCAATGCTGAGTGAAAATGTTCCTTGCCCTTTATCTCGACAGAGTGACGTTTTTTATAAGAGCTACAGGAATAGGCAGATTATTTATTCTATAACGGTTAACAGGGATCATCTCTAATATCCATCATGCTCTATATGGAACTAAACATCTGTTCCGGACTGATTAGAGAGGAAAATCGTTGTGGTATATTTCCAAGTTGATTTTTTTAACTTTGTATATTCTGAAGAAAATATTGAATGTACACATATCTAAGGCCTTGATCCTGCAGTTGGATCCATGCAGGCAGATCCTTACATTGCTCAGACTCTCATTGAAGTCAATGGGCTTCACACAGGCAAAAGCTTCTACCTATAAGGATGTAGCTGCTGGACTGGGGTCCAGTAATCTCAGCTGACAGATTGAAGTTTAAGTGTAGTAGGGTCAATACAGATGCTGTAGAATTAGTCCGATCCATTATATAATTTTTAACTCTTGTTATATAGTCAAAATAAAATATTTTATTCAGTTCATTGCATTTTTGATCAATTCTTGTATTTGACAAAACAATAAATTTCATAGAAATAAACCAATTTATAAACAGAATGACAAGAGCAACCACAACAAAACAAAAAAGGGAAGCTGATGTGTCCTTTGTTTATATCACTGTCCTTTCAAAGTGAACCTGAAATCAGCTCTGTCTGCCATACCGATCCACAAAGTCAGGTAGCAGAAATACTGAGCCCCATCCCACCTTGGGATTCATACTGATAAAATCATCCAGGTTCATCTTGGAATCTAGATAAGGAGCATAAATAGAGAATGTTAGAGTCCTAGATAAGGCAGCTATTTAGCACAGGAATGCATGAACATTATTTGTCAATCAAATGCAGACAGAAACCTGTTTTGATGGTAGGGATTAATATACACATACATACCAGCAAAGAAAGAGCTTTTTCCCTCTCATGAAAAGCCATTGAATAGGGGAAACACTACTCAGAGGGAATTCTGCAAATTGTAAGATACCTTCAGAGTCTTCATTTCCTGTTTTCAGGATGTAGCATTTGTCTCTGATCCCTATCTGCTCATGTCAATAATTTCTTTCCTGACCAGCATTTTCACTGATTGAAAGAAAGAGTATGTAGGAAAACAATAGAGATTTGCAGCAGTCCCAGAAGGCACTTATATCATGCCACGGAGTTGTAGTGCAGGATAAAGGGTGACCAAAACTAGAGAATTAAAAAAAGGACTGTTATAGTAAAAACTACGGGTCCTACGGCATCTCTCTATTCAAGAAGAGCCTGATCCTGCAAGGTCCTGCAAGACCTTGCTCCTATTTAAGGGCCTGATCCAAAGCCTATTGGAGTCAACGGAAGCTTTTCCATTGACTTCAATGGGGCATTAGATCAGCAATAGGAGTTAGAAGGTGCTGATCACTTCCTATGAGATGCTGATCAGCCTCGAGATCATGCCACAACTAGGAAAACAATTAATGGACTTCATCAGGTCCCATGAACTCATTTGAAAGACTCCCACTGACTTTGAGTGCTTTGGTTCAAGCCCTAAATTCTGAAACCAGAGCCATGATAACTTGGGGGGGGACAGCTGGGAGATGCTTGTATAATCTCTACGTCTGATTTTAACATTGAGAGGGAGGAAAATCAAGTAAGAAAGAATACAGCAATGGAGAAAGGAGCAGTAGTGGGTCTGAGAATGGACCTTAAGAGAAAAGATAGCGCCGATACCAATGAAGCTAACAGTCAAGTAGGCGATACTGGCAGTAGAATGACAGTACCTAATAGGGCGAGGACTGTGGGTGAAGCAAAGCAGCAAAAGCAAAGCAGCAAAAATTAAGATGTTTGTACACCAATGCAAGGAGCCTGGGTAACAAAATGGAGGAACTCGAACTACTGGTGCATGAAGTGAAACCAGATATTATAGGGATAACAGAAACATGGTGGAATAGTAGTCATGACTGGAGTAGAGGTATTGAAGGATATGTGCTGTTCAGGTCAGAAATAAAGGTGATGGTGTAGCATTGTATATTAATAATGAGGTAGACTTTAAGCAAATTAGAAGTGATGAAATGGATAAAACAGAGTCTATTTGGGCCAAAATCACTTTGGGGAAGAAAGCTACTAAAGGTTCCCCTGGGATAGTGCTTGGGGTATGCTACAGACCCCCAAGATCCAATTTAAATATGGATAGAGACCTCTTTAATGTTTTAATTAAATAAATACTACTGGGAATTGTGTGATTATGGGAAACTTTTACTTCCCAGATATAGATCGGAGGACAAGTGCTACTAATAATAGTAGGGCCCAGATTTTCCTGGATGTAATAGGTGACAGATTTCTTAACCAAATAGTCGCTGAACCAACAAGAGGTGATTCCATTTTAGATTTGGTATTGGTGAGTAGTCAGAACTTGGTTGTAGGGGACAAGCTTGGTTTGAGTGATCACGAGCCAATTCAGTTTACACTAAATGGAAGAATAAACAAACATAGATCTGCAGCTAGGGTCCTTGATTTCAAAAGGGCAAACTTTAAAAAATTAAGGGAATTAGTTAGAGAAGTGGACTGGACCGAAGAACTCAAGGATCTGAATGTGGAGTAGGCTTGGAATGACTTTAAGTCAAAGTTGCAGAAACTATCTGAAGCCTGCATCCCAAGCAAGGGGAAAAAAAGCATAGGGAAAGGTTGCAGTCCAACCTGGATGAGCAAGCATCTCCAAAGCAGAAAGCCTACAAGGAATGGAAGATGGGATGGATCAGCAAGGAACGCTACCTCTTGGAGGTCAGAAAGTGATAAAGGGATAAAGTGAGAACTGCCAAAAGCCAAGCAGAGTTGGACATTGCAAAGGGAATTAAAACCAATAGTAAAAGGTTCGATAGCCATATAAATAAAAAGAAAACAAGGAAAGAAGAAGTGAGACTGCTAAACACTGAGGATGGGTTGGAGATTAAAGATAATCTAGGCATGGCCCAACACCTAAACAAATACTTTGCCTTAGTTTTTAATAAGGCTAATGAAGAGCTTAGAGGTAGTGGCAAGGTGGCAAATGGGAACAAGGATACGGAGGTAGAAGTTACCACATCTGAGGTGGAAGTCAAACTCAAACATCTTAATGGGATTAAATTGGGGGCTCCAGATAATCTCCATCCAAGAATATTAAAGGAACTGGCACATGAAATTGCCAGTCCAATAGCAAGGATTTTTAATGAATCTGTAAACTCGGGGATCGTACCCTATGACTGGAGAATTGCAAATATAGTTCCTATTTTTAAGACAGAGGAAATAAAAGTGATCTGGGAAACTACACGCCTGTTAGTTTGACCTCAATTGTGTGCAAGGCCTTGGAACAAATTTTGAAAGAGAAAGTAGTTACGGACATAGAGGTGAACAGTAATTGGAATAAAATACAACATGGTTTTACAAAAGGTACACCGTGCCAGACTAACCTGATCTCCTTTTTTGAGAAGATAACTGATTTTTTTTACACAAAGGAAATGCAGTAGACCTAATCTACCTGGATTTCAGTAAGGCATTTGATACAGTTCCACATGGGAAATTATTAGTAAAATTTGAGAAGATTGGGGATTAATATGAGAATTGAAAGGTTGATAAGGAACTAGTTAAAAAGTTCTGGAACAGCCTTCCAACGGGAGCAGTGGGGGCAAAAAATCTAACTGGCTTCAAGACTGAGCTTGATAATTTTATGGAGTGGTAGTATGATGAGACTGCCTACAATGGCATGTAGCTGATCTGTGACAGCTAGCAGCAAATATCTCCTATGGCTGGTGATGGGACACTAGATGGGGAGGGCTCTGAGTTACTCCAGAGAATTCTTCCCCAGGAATCTGTCTGGTGGTCTTGCCCACAAGCTTAGGATCTAACTCATTGCCATATTTGGGTCAGGAAGGAATTTTCCCCAGGTCAGATTGGCAGAGACACTAGGGGGTTTTCGCCTTCCTCTGCAGACTGGGGCATGGGTCACTTGTGGATTTAAACTAGTGTAAATGGTGAATTCTCTATAACTTGACATCTTTAAATCATGATTTGAGAACTTCAATAACTCAGCCAGAGGTTAGGGGTCTATTACAGGAGTGGATGGGTGAGGTTCTGTGGTCTGCAGTGTGCAGGATAATCACAATGGTCCCTTCCGTCCTTAAAGTCTATGAGACACAAAAACCCCTTCCGTCACTGTCGGTAGTATCTACACTACGGTGCTACCTGCCGCTGTAGCCTAGTCATAGCCCTAGTGTATTTAGTGTAGTGCCCTACTGCTGTATTTGTGCTTTTTTTAAACATGGATTATTTAGATACGTCAGAGCCAAAGCCTACTGTTGTTTAACTGATAGATCTACAAGTACAGTATATAGGGTAAAATTCACTTCAGCTGCATAACGCCCAAGTAATTAGGCTTATACTGGTGTAGTGCACAAGGGATTTAGGGAGGACAGAAACCACTCAACGGCAAGGTAGGGCTGCAGCCCATCTATAATCCAACGCCTGCAGGTACTATTCAATCTCTAGGCTGGAATATCAGCTTCCGCCCCTCTGCACGCACTATGTACTGGGATTCGCAGTTTGTCTCCATCCAAGTACTAGCCAGGCCTGGAACTCTTTAATTTCCAAGATCAGATAAGATCAGGTGCATTCAGTCTGGTATGGATGTCTTACACATTATATAACAGCCCCTTGGATCCATCTAATCACAGTTCCCATAGCCCCTCCTCCAACTCCAGTTTTCACTCCAGCCTATTGTAGCTGACAGCAAAATAATTATTTAAAAAGTGTTCCTTACATGGTAAACAAGTCCAGAGGGACATTTTAGAAGTTGAGTTACAAACTTTGGGGGTGAGGAGGAAGAGGGTGATGGGGGACGGGAGAGAGAAAGTATTTTTAAACAAGGGAACACAGGTGCAGCTGTAAGCAACGTGAAAGGGTGCTACCATATAATCTTTTAGGGGAGTAAAAAGACTCTCCTTAACTTAGCTGACCAGAAAGGTCTTGGGCAGCCTATAAAAACAAACAATTTTAATTAAGGGATTTTTTTCTTTTAAAAAGCAGGACAGAACTTCCAAGTCAACAGTGATCAACACTATTTCATGGATTAGTCAATAAATGGCACTGAAGCTGAATGACAGCTGGTTTCCTTTGCATTGCAAGATATGCAATCAGACCTCTCAATTTTTTTTATTAATAAGGAAGCCCTGCATTCTGATATAATAATGGGAAAGAGGGAATTTTATCTATTTGTTTTAAATCTATATTGTGCCATAAGTTTACAGTGCCTTACAACTTTAAAAAACTGTTAGGCAAAAGATATTATCATAATCCAGATAAAGTCCTTCATCTGAGTGAGTAGACGGCAATGATTCATCTGAGGTTCTAAGGCCTAAAGTGGAACGGGAGAGCTAACACACAAGAACAGAGTGCAGATGTTATTGCTGACAACCCAGGTGGTTTTTCAGAAGGGACTGGAGTGAGAGCTAGTAGAAAGGCTCTTCCAAGCATAGGGGGTGGCATAGAACAAAGCAGGGGTGAGAAAAGACAAATTGTGTTTACTTTCTGGACCCAATCCTATTTAGGAGCAAGACCAGGCCCTAAAGATGGAAAATGTTGCCGAGACACTGATGGAATGAAATGGCTGTTTGATTTGCTTGTTTCTGCCTATCCACATAGCAACACTTCTTCTGACAGAACCATTTTAGTAGAGCCACGCACAATATATTTTATTACTGCGGCCATGCCTGTGCATTCTGGGACTCTTAAGGCATGTTGTCCATTATGCCT